TAGGTCCATACGAGAAACGAGGGTACCGAAACGTCTCCGCGGCCGAACATTTATGTACATTAGTAATTTTCTGTTGACTTGGTTGCAGGCGTAAAAGGGCTACGTGAGCCCGCAAATTCTCATCTTTCGATGCCGTTTGGCGGTATCTGACGGTGGCGACTACATTGCACCTCGAAAGAGCCTCAACCCCGCTGCCAGTCCCGCCTCTGTCACCCTGGGCGGTACGGATAGCCAGACGGGCAGAAAGCATGGAACCAACAGTGGCCTAGATCGTCATTCTCTCGTGTGCTGGCGTCGCATTGCCGTACCCACTGAAACCTCCTGTCCCAGGGGCGCGCGCCTGTCTGTGCCTTTCGGGTCGCCGCTTGATGAATCCGAGAACGCGATGACCTCGCTTCATGCCCCCGGCGGCTGCGCCAAGCGTACTGGAATAACAAATCTAGAAGCTGCCCCATTGTTCACACAATATTTCCATGTATGTAAAACGCGTAGTCGCAAGCATGCAACTCGGTCCCTACTACAAAATCGAGAAGGCGACGCCCGTGTACTACTACCAGCACGGCATGCCTTGTCGACGGACAACTACCGGGACCCGAGTTCACCGCCGCCAGAGTCTTCCGCTGTTCATGGGGTATGATCTCCCTGACTCTCAGTCAGACTAGAAAGTGTCGATTGTGACTACGTCCAGACAATTTAGACGATAATCGAGTGATCGTGTCGAACAGCATGATGACCAGCCTGAAGCCAGCTTGATCGGAACGCCACGCAGACTAACAAAGTGTCACGTCAAAGAAAGTTCACTTGAAGCTCAGCAAGAGTATCAGGTAGCCACTTACCATCTACTGGAGAATCATCAACTTGTTACCGCGACTTCGTGCGGCAGGCTCTTCCCGCCTCCAAAGTGGCCGCTAGGCAGGGGCCGAGCCTGCGATTGGTGTTCCGCTGTCTTGGAACCCGAGGTCATCGGAGCTCCACTTGAGTCGTCCGAACTGTGCCATTATTGACATTGACCAGGATCTGGTCAAAGCCATTGGCCAAAGGCGCGCTTACGCGGTAATGGGTGATTGGGGCCGGCGGAATGAATAAGGATTAGCCCCCACGCATTGTATTTTAAGCATACGGCAGGAGAACTCTAGACGGAAACAAGTATATTGATCTTTGATCGTTCGAGAACTCTCCGTGTTCATGGGTCCTCCTATCCGACCGGCGGCTAGCGGCGATCTACCTATATTCAGATGACAGCAGGGGATTATCGGACGAAATCCTCCTTGCTGCTCGGGGCAACTCGCGGTCATCCAGTTTCAGCCAAAGACTGATCTAGGTTGCTCCTTTGGGAAAGTCCAGCAGGTGGACTAGACCGACAAACGAGATAGTTCTTGGCAAGGCTGGAGACCTTCAAGTATATATGAAGCCTCCAACTCAGTCCCATCACTCTCATTCCCTCCCATCCTCATCCGGTTCTTCATTTCACTTTCCTACATTCGATCACTGCCATTCATTCCTAGCCAGTCGAGCCATTCGTTCTTTTGACAAGTCGTCCAAGCTCTTCCTGCAATCGATTTAGATTTCTTGACCACCAGACCTACCGAACAACTACCAAAATGAAGTTCTCTCTCGCCACCGTCGTCGCCGTCGCCGCCCTCATGGCCGACTCCGCCTCTGCCCACTACTTCTTCGAGAAGATGGTCGTCAACGGCGTCGCCTCCGCCGACTACATGCGCTCCAGCACCCAGGGCTACCAGCCCCAGTCCAACAGCATCATGACCAGCAACACCTTCCGCTGCAACACCGGCGCCAAGGCCGCGGCCAAGACTGCCACCGTCGCTGCCGGTTCTGAGGTCGGTTTTCAGATGAACTTTGGTGCCAAGATCCAGCACCCTGGTCCTCTCCAGATCTGGATGAGCAAGGCCTCCGGCGATCTCTCCAGCTATGACGGCTCCGGCGACTGGTTCAAGGTCTACGAGTCTGGACCGACCAAGTTCCCCCTGACTGGCGCTGCCGAGGAGTGGGGTGTCTACAACAAGAACATCATCACCTTCACCGTCCCCAAGGTGCGTTTTCCTTCTCCCCTGCTGGGGCTAGAAACTTTCAACTGACTGTTTCATAGGACCTCGCTGCCGGCGACTACCTCGTCCGCCCCGAGCACCTTGCTCTTCACAAGCCCTCCGGCACGGAGTTCTACTTCAACTGCGGCCAGATGAAGGTCACTGGCTCTGGCACCAAGGTCCCCACCGCCACTGCCAAGTTCCCTGGTGTCTACGACTCCAACACTGCCGGTCTCTCCCCCAAGTAAGTATTCTCAGAAGCGGTTTTGCGAGTACAAAATGTCTAACACCAAGTTTTAGGTTCTCTCTTTACCAGAACGCCAAGTCCTACCCCATGCCCGGCACCACTCTCGTCACCCGCGAGCTTTCCCTCCCCATGAGCCGCATCACCCGCGGCATGCGCGAGGAGACCAAGCAGGAGTAAATCTTCCCATGCCGAGGGTGACTCACAGGGGACCGATGAAATGTCAATATGGACATTCAGGACAAGGACAAGGACGTCCACTGAACACTTTTTTCTTCGATGCATATCTAGTTTAACTAGCCACACCATGTAGATACACAGTTGCAGGCCATTTGAGTAGCTTCAATAACAGAACGCGCACCAGATGCTTAAATATATAGTCGCGTCCATACGATCATAATATTTCCAGCGAACATTCGTATGCCTCCTCCATTTATATGAACATGCCCTACAACTGCAGGACGCGCTTCGAAGTTTTCATCAAGAACACTCAACAGAACAACAGTAACAAAATAAAGGTCTAACTCTCAGGCACCTCAGCCTGACGTTGCTCTGTTTCATCAGCGTGTCTGGAATCCCCAAGGCAGATTTACTATCACACCGCAAGATCGATGGCGATCCGAGAGCCTGGACGTGAAAGCGCCATCTGAAGTCCTTCCGCAGGCAGCCGTAAAGATCACTTCACCGCAAGACAGAACCAAGCACATCCAACCAACCATGGGCGGTGAGCCCGGATGGTTACCTTTGGTTAGGCCAACAAACATCTGCTGCAGCATGTGCCGTCTTATTTGGTGATACATGTGTCACCAAACACCATCACCAGAAACCGTACAAAGTTGAAGCCTTCTCTTCATTATCATGAACTCCAACAACCTTTCATTGCCAATATTAAAAACATTATCAGCCATCCAAAATGTTCCGCCCATGGACTTACAACCCTAATCCCCCAGACTTCCCCTGGGCCCCTCCCACCCCGGGCCCAGCCTACAACAACGTCCACAGCGGCAACCGCGTCAACATCAACACCTTCAACGCCTACCCCCGCTTCGCCCAAACGCCCTTCGCCCCGCGCCCCTTCGACTTTGCCTCTCTCTTCAACCTCCACCCCTACGGCAACAACCAGAACGGCCCCCTCCGCGCAGACGGCCGCCTCCGCAACCGCGTAACCGTCATCCTCCCCGACGGCAGCCGCATCCTCGTCGACCGCGACCTCATGCACGAGCACCTCCCGCGCACGCGCAACTTCGTCCACGGCCTCGGCGGCGACTTCGCAGTCCCCGAATTCCTGCGCGGCTACAACCCGGGCTTCGAGGCGCCGGACTTCAACCAGCTGCGCTTTCGCGACGGCCTCAGCCGCGCGGCGGGCTTCGTGTTCCGATACATTGAGATGATGTGCCGCACGCACCAGCCGTACGGCGGCCCGCCCGAGTTCGACCTCTTCTCGCGCCCTCGGTTCCTGCTCGCGAACGAGAGGAATAGAGTGCAGGTCGTGCAGGAGGTGTACTGGCACCTGTTCCTGCTGTGCTGCGTGCTGGACCAGGACCGCGCGCTGGGGTGTTCGGATATGTTTGCGCGGTCGATTGGGGAGTTCCTTTTGGAGTTTATGCCGAGGGTTGAGGCGTTTATGCCGCCTGGGGCCGCGCAGTTGCTGTTTGTAGGGTATGCGAGGATCTTCCGGGAGACGCGGTCGGAGATGGACGTGTTGAGGGAGCTGTGGGACATGATGGATGCGCGGGATCAGCATTTGTTGAGGGCGACGATTGGGCCGCAGCTGGCGGGCAACGGGATGGGGAACAATGCGCAAAGGATGTGGACTGCTTTGAGGCACTTGGGCTTGGTGTGATGAATAGTAAAATTGTTTGCGTTGTTCTTCTAGACCAGATCGGCTTGGCTTTTTGATCTTTTCCTTTCCTTGTTTCAATTGGAGTTTGCATCCTTCGAATTAGATACATACGTCAATGTGACATCCCGCTGTGGTGATGAAAGATTGTGCTGATATTTCCAAGCTTACTTCCAAGCCGATGGCATTGGTCAACTAGTCTGATGCTTCTCCCCTCGTCCGCTTGACTATGCGGAGAATCTCCCGCAATTTATCCGCTACGTTGCTACTGGCACTCATTTTCCATGCCTTTAATGAGATTTGCCTCGCTTACAATCTGAGACGCGGTGAGCAGTAAACGCAGTGCTTTCTATTGACGCCGTGAGGACAGGTGCGGCTCATGGGAATGCACTCGTCAACAACGGTTTCTGGTTTACTAGGCTGGTTGTCGGCCATTTCGGGAAAGTTTGTGGTTGCTGGAGATGTTTCTGGGATTGGTTTTGTGTATTTATGCTTTCTTGGAACTCAAGATGTTTCCTCTATGCAGGTGAGGTGGCCATCACTGCCATTTATAATTCTCGACAGCTAAAACTAGTGTCTGATTCACGACACATTTTCTGAGGTTGACCACCGATTCACAGAGAAAAATCCGCATAATCGCCACAATATTTGAACGAAAAGCTTTCGTGTGGTTTATTCACTGAAACGGAACAGGCTGCGAGATGCCTGTTCGCCCCTTTTTCAAGCTAGTTCACGGGTGGAAAGGCTCGGCACTTGTTACACAGGCGCATAGTAGCATACTTTTGAGGTCGGATAGCCCGCTGTCAGTGTACCGTCTCTATTCCTGGCCCACGATGAAGTTTGGTTCGCCGCTTCCCTCATCGGTCCTTTCTCAGTCGGATTTTGACAGTTTGGTCTTTACGAAGCCGCAAAAGCTGTCATAAAGTGGCTTGGAGTGCCCTTCTCTCCACCGGCAGATGACCTTAATCCTCCCCGCCCCGACCTCGAGGGCAAGCTCAAATCCGAATGCGCATTGCTCAGGTGTCGAGATATCCTCAGGCTTCTTTCCTTCCCTCTCTTCCCGCATCTTCTTCCTTCTCCATGCTCGGCTCCACACGTCCTCTCGCGCTCTGCCGATGCCAACGAGCTTCTCCCGATCCCACTCCCATGATATTAACTCCAAAGAATTCGCCAGCTCTTGCAGATTGTTCGCCAGAGCTCCAACTCCCCTATCCAATGAAAACTCAATAACCTCCGTCTCGGTGCTTGGAGGAAGCATACCCCTCCATTGAGCGGCCGCCAGACCTCTCGCAGCCTTGTTGCAAGGCCTCATCGCCGCAAAGCTCCATGCAACAGCCCATCTCTTGGTTTTCGAGTTCGGGCCCTGGATGAACTCAGTTACCGCCAAGTTGTCGATCTTGTGTTCGTGAAGCTTCTCCAAGATGGCGTCGAGGCTGGCCTTCTTGCCAAACATGCTAGTGTACCACTGCACCTGCTCCCTCAACTCGAGAGACTCCTTCAGGATCCGGCCCACGAACGCGACTTCTCCGCCTTCGGTGAATTGCTCATTTGCGGCGATGGCGAAATGATTCTCCTGGGCCGTAGCCTTTGACTGTTCGCATGCTTTGACCTCTTCTTCGGAAGTGTAGAATGGGGGGTTGGTCATCACAAAATCCAGGTGATCCACGCCGAGTCCCTCGGGGTTCACCAAGTTTTCTTCGGGGCTGCGTCTGACGACACTGATATAACTTTGCAGATTATTGAGTTTGACGTTCTGTTTTGCATATGAAATGCTCTTCTCGTCGATATCTGCACTAGTCAGTTGTGAATACTACCTGTCAGCGAGGAAGGGTACCTGTTGCGAAGAAGGACCATCTACGTTGTGTATATCCGAGCAGAGGGAAGATGCATGACGCACCAGTCCCTACATCCAGACCGACAACTCTGCGATGGTCTGGCTGCTCGTACGAAGTGCTATCGAGTAGGTCCTTGAGCCACAGGATGTAGTTGTGTCTCTGGGCGATCTTCAAGCAGTCAGCTTCTTGCTCAATGCGCCAAGGGTTGTGCTTACAGGTGGGCATAATCGGTCAGCTGGCAAGTCGACTTGGAAACCGAAATGTTCCTTCAGCAGCGCGCTGTTGAGTGCGATGACGGCATACGGGTCATTGAAGTCGAGTGTGTTCCCGCTGAGTCTGAGAGGAAGTTAGCTGTATTCTCGCAATTCCGCGGTAGGAGGTGTGTTACTTCGTGCCGAGTTTTCTGTGCTTCTTGCCCAACGCAGCGTAGTCGTGCGTGCCGCTGTATAAGTCACGATAATACGTGTCTGCGTGGGTGCCAGGCTCTGTTGGTCGTGGCGCTTCGAAAGTAGACCGTCCAATGCGCTGAAATTTGTGAGAGTCGGACGCGCTTTCTGCTTGGGTTTCGTTCGCATCAGGATGCGACCTCTTTTCGCCGGCCATCTGTGACAGGATGTGGGTGAAAAGCCGGCCTAGTTTGGGGAGGGGGCCTGCTGCCTATGCAGCCGTTGGAGACCAAGGTGGGCGAACAAGAACAGCCGCCGATGAGCAGGCGCTTAAGTAGTAGAGAAATAACACCATTCATGCGTCAAAACTGCGTCGGATGCGATGGACGGGTATCTGAAGATGATTATCCTCGTCTAGAGTCTTCGATGTTGATGCAATCCAGAGGATCGTTTCTCGTCGCGATTAGAGAATAAAGAGGTGCAATGTGGGCCTCCGTATGCATATATGCATAACCGGCGATGGAGTATGCACTTAAAGCAAAGTGGTCCACGTTAGAGTCGGTGTTCTCAGAGAATCCCGCATCAAACAAGCATAGGTAGAATGGAGGTTTACTGCTGCCCTTTGCGATCCCCGTTTTCCAAATCTTATTGTAGTCCATAAGTAAGATGAGACAAAGAAAAACAAAACTCTGGTAGGTACTCCGAAATATGTCCAAACACAAAGGAAACACACGCAGTCGCCATGCAACGCTGTCGTCTACTCATCCATCATGTCTAGTACATGCAACCACTCATCAGGTTCATGAAATCGTCTCACTGCCCCCACATAAGGACTCTCCATCTCCACCCCTCGAGCAGCTTCATATCGCTGTCAACAACCTCAACGTCGCCGCGCTCGATCTTGGCGCCGAGGCGCTTCAGCCGCTTCGAGACGGTCTTGGCCACCATCAGAGAGACCTCGTTCGAGAAGATGTAAAGCACGGCGAAAACAAAGAAGGCAATGCTGGCAAAGCTGTTGCGGCCGAGAACGCTGTCTTTGATGCGCGCTAGCATAGCCTTACTCTTGGAGAAGGCATACTCGGTGTTGTTGCTCGCCTGGAGGCTTGACCTGCCCTCGGACGAGGAAGGTCGACGGAAGACGCGCTTGACGGCTGGAATGAAGGTCGCCCTGCTCTTTGTCAGCTCACACGGCGCACCTCTGGATGTATCTCCAGGTACTTACACAGCTCCTCCAATGAGCCAATTCCTCCAACGGTGGTTCTCGCCTTCCTTGATCAGTACGCCGACCTCCTTTCGCAGCATCTTCAGGTCCCCAACCAAGATGCGGCCCTGCGCCCGAATTTGATCCTCTAGCTCCATCGTCGACGAGCCATCGGGGCGTCTCTTGCGCATGAGAGAAAGGTACTCCCGCATAGCGAACTGCGTGCTCGTCTTCAGCGACCGGATGTCCTGGGTTGTGGTCGTGATCGGCTGGAGCGCTGCGGCGGGGCGGGGCAGCTCGGCCATGGTTCCCGCTTGGGAGGGAGGAGCCGGGTAGTAAGCGGCCGGCCCAGCCATCTTCTCGACTACAGGAGGCTGGACGGCGACCTTGGGAATTGGGGGAGGATGGCCATATGTGATGTAGGGAGGCGCCGGTTGGCTCTGGCGGATGGAGTACTGGTCGGATTTGCGCGGAGGGTCTTCTTCTCGGGAAGGGCGGGGGTAATCCTCCGGACGGGTCGGTTGGGCGTACTCGGGCTGCGACTGAAGATACTTGTCTGCAGGCGGTGCTCCTCCTGTCGGGAAAGCCCCGGGGCCGTTGTACGGCGTAGACGACGTGTCAACGGGTCGGGCCTGTGTTTCCATGGATGCCATCTTGAGACGCAGCGCAACCAAGTGACACCAAAGTCGCGGCGGTGAGGGAGAGCCCGGTAGGGAATACGAGAACGGCGGCGGACCTAAAAGTGAGGGGTGTTCCTGGTTGAAATGCAAACAAAACAAAAACAAGAACCACTGTGGTTACATCAAGAAGGACAAGCGAGGATATGAGCTGAGCCGAGTTGTGAGATTGATCCGATTTAATAAGGTGGCGGGGGAATTCGAGGAAGCGTTGGAACAGCTCACCACCACTGCCCGCCTCGCCTCGCCTCGCTTCAGCGAAATGTGAGGTGACGGACAGCTGGAAGGCGGGATGGTGGGGCGGCACCTGCCAGCGAACGGCGCCTGGACCCACTGCGGGAAGAATAGCGGGTCCATCACACAGTGCCCAATGACTTCGAAATCAATCACGCCGCACGCTGTCTGTCTTTGCTGCTTTCGATGTCGTCGCTTTTGAGCTCTAGCTTCATCGCGACCGTCTCTAACTGTCGTGTCCACGTACACATCCACAATGTCCGACCAGGCCCCCTCGCGCTTCACGGCGCCGAAGAAGACCACGACAGAGCGTCTATCGAGCAACACCGTCGGTCTGGTCCAGCTGTCCGACTACCGCAAGCGACACGCCGAAGTCCTCGACCAGCAGGAGCGCGAACGCGAAGCAGCCCTCTCCGGCACGTCCACCCCGAACCGATCCCACTCCGCGACGCCAGACCCGGGGAGCGACTCTGGCAGCGGCGCAAGCAAGCCGAAGAAGAGAAAGAAGAAGATTGGGGGCAGCAAATTGTCTTTCGGCGACGATGAAGAGGAAGAGGAGGACGCGCTGCCGGTGAAGAAGGGGAAGAAGGACGCAGACAAGGACGGCGACGACAGCTCAGGGAAGAAGTCCAAGGTCGTTGCCAACTCTTCCGTCGCTTTCGTGCCCAAGGTCATGTCGAAGGCGGCTCTCCGACGTGAGGCGGCTGAGAGGGAAGCTTTGCGACGCGAGTTCTTGGCTATCCAAGAAGCTGTCAAGGCCACCGAGATTGCCGTTCCCTTCGTCTTCTACGACGGTTCCAACATCCCTGGAGGCACAGTACGTGTCAAGAAGGGCGACTACGTCTGGGTGTTCCTCGATAAGAGTCGCAAGGTCGGCGCAGAGCTTGGTGTAGGAGAAAAGGCCAATGCTAGGCGAGAGTGGGCACGCGTCGGTGTGGACGATTTGATGCTCGTGAGGGGGTCAATCATTATTCCGCATGTGGGTGTAATCTTGTCTCTATTTCTGATTCTTGGCTAATTGTTCTCTGCAGCACTATGAATTTTACTTCTTCATCATCAACAAGAGCACTGGCCCCGACGGCCAGCAGCTCTTCACCTACGCCGCCGACGCCCCGCCCAAGACGGACGAGCCCGAAGCCGAGGAGACGCCCGCGGTCCCCGATGGCGGCCTGACCACCGCAGCCGCGTTGAAAGCTAAGGCGGCCGCTGTCAAGGCTCTGCCCGATATCAACACCCTCGAGGGTGCGACCGATGATCCGACCTTGACAAAGGTGGTGGACCGGCGCTGGTATGAGCGCAATAAGCACATCTACCCAGCGAGCATGTGGCAGGAGTTCGACCCCGAGAAAGACTACCAGAAGGAAGTCCGGAAAGATGCCGGCGGCAATACTTTCTTCTTCTCGAGGTGAACGTCTGTTGTTTAGTCGATTTGGATACACCGGCTGGGTAAAATATTCGTAAGGATTGTGCCGAGAGGCATTCGATGAATGCTTCAGCCTGCGAAGAGGCGAACTGCAAGGATGGCTCCGAGGATCAGTAACCACCCTGGCCAGAAGACCATGATAATCAGCATGTTGCCCCCGGGACCGAGTATCGTTGTCGCAAACTCCATGAAGACCTGTTTTCTCATATGCCGAATCTTCTTGGAGTTCCACGCCGTTCGCATCGAAAATCGAAGCGCCGACAGGGACTTTCGGGAGACATATGCCGAATGGGAGACGAAGAGTCTAGCCGCTACCACCGTCGACGAGAGTGTTGAGGTTGCGAGAAGGTGACCGTAGACGAACAACAGCGACGAGGCGATTGCGGCAAGCCTCTGAAAACGGATGGCAAGGTCGAAAGTTGGTCGAAAGAGGGCGATGAGGGACCGTTGCCGGATGTTCACGCCGGGCTCGTGCGTCGACGACGTGAGGATGGCGACTTTGTTCATGATGGCAGATGAGGTCTCAGCAAGGGCTTGATCACGACCAACAGCGGTGCCTTTGGGAGTACAAGGGTTCAGGTGAGGGGTATGATGGGTGCTGCCGCCGTCAGCATCAGGAGGGGCAGCGGCATGGGCAACTTCGCGCTGGAATTCGAGATATTTATTGACTGGAGGCATGGCATCCGGTCACCAACGACTGAATGCAACGATACCCGTTCTTCCCTCCCACGCGGCTACTGCGCTTCTTTTCTGGTGCTCAGAATCGGAATCTTTGTGAAACTTGATCAGAGGAACGACATTCGAGATACAACAAGTCTTCAATAGCCATGATAGTGGCAGGCGCCTCGGTGTCGCTATTTACCTTAACAGCGCTCTTGTCCAGAATATTCCACCCCCTCCACCATGTCCATGTCGAACACCCCAAACTCGGAAGGAAGCTGCGACGGCCGCCCCACCACCACCACCGAGACCCTTTTTTCTACGGGCAAACCATGGCACCCACGTGGGGCTCTTTGCCCGCCGGATCGGGGGTTGAGGTTGGCATCGCACGCTGCGGGAAATGAGAACGTGGGATGTGATTCTTTCTCATTCGTTGGTGAGCATCTGCGCGGTTCCAAGAGCGGAGAGGTTCGAAGGTTCGCGCGGGTTTGTGTTACCCCTCCCCCGCGCTTGGAGGACGAAGGGAGGATCCGGACTCTTCTTTGATCACTCGTGGATTGAGGAAATGGTTTTCCACCATCTGTTGAAATCCCGAGGATATTACAGACGAGCAGAGTTTCGACAATTGACCTAACGACAACCGCAATAGATTTGCAGCCTCAGCACGTCTGAATCCTAAATCTCTCGAGGTCCAAAGGGAGGGGCCACGATCTTCAATCTGCCACACCTTGGCTCCCGCTGCCCCTCATGATGACCTCTATCTTATCTCATCCATCGCGGCAGGATCCGGAGGTTTCTGGGCCTGTCGGGAGGGGAGGCTGGGCCCATGTGCCGGCTCCGTGACTCGGGCGCCGGGCGTGGGCGATGGACGCTTCTTCATAGGCTCGTGTCTTCTCGCCGCTTCCGCCGGATTCTGCAGTGGAGGGGTCGGGTCCGTTCGGGATTGGGGGCTCAGCCACGCGCCTCAGTTGCAACTTGTTGCTGGTGTCACTCACATTGAAGAAATGACTGCTCTTCGTCTG